ATATATATATATATATATATATATATATATATATAATATAAATTAAATTAAATTTTAATTTTTTTGAATAACGTATCTATGAATAATATGATAGCCATACCCAACTTATCTACAATATATGATAAATACTTTTGAATATTAATTATCTGGTACAAATATTTTTGTTTTGCCTAATCAATTATATTATTTGTGGTAAGGTTAACATGATGCAATAAATATTAGAAAAAATGACATTTTGTCGTCATCATTACATTAATGACACTGATAATAATCATCTTTTATTTATTTGTAGTAATTAGTGACATAAACATCATCAAAAAGTATGACAATTTGATAATTTAACAAATTTTTTTATTATAAATATTTGTTTTACAATAATAAAAAATGTAAGATTTATTAAAAACCAATTTTTAATATTGATATACAGCTTTTTTGTATTACAATTTTTGGATTTAAGTCAAAATTAACCAATTTAAAAAAAAAGTTTAAGATTTATGTGTTTTGAAATAAATTTAGTCTTACTTAATACCATATCTAACTGACATAAATTTATATCGATTTAAACTACATTTGGCATGAAAATTAACATTATAATATTTTAATTGAAACTCTTATACAACAATTGATGTTTATTCACATACACATACTCTTTTTTTTTACGTATTTTTACGAGTCATAATTTAGAAAAAAAACAAAAGACTTTTTTTAATATTTTATTGAAATAACTTTTAATTAAAAAATGTATATAATTATTGAAATAATTATATTAGATCGATGACGTGTTTTTTAAGTGTCCTCTTTTTTTACATGTTATTTGATAGATAAATATGAGGAGAAGTATTTTATGTGAAAGTCATGAAAACATTAAAATGATGATATTGTTGGATGTAAAAAGAATTCTCACATATAACGAAAAATATAGTTGATTAATTTGTGAAATAATAGATATATATAATCTCATAGAACTAATGTATATTGTTAATGAAGTATTAGATGAAGTTGAGCTTGGAACTACTTGTCTACATTATCTTTATTCATCTATAAATCCAAATTGGATAAAACACAAAATTACAAGACAATAAACCATATGTTACAATTTAATATAGATCAAAATTGACTCAAAAAACTTATAAACAAGCCCTAAGAAACTTGGTTAGTATAGTGTACGAAAGCTTTTAACCCACGTCCTACAGACCAACATAAATATGCATAGTCTTTTCAGCGATGGAAATTTTAAAAATACAAGCAAATGATGAAGGTAGGTTACACTTCCAATACAATGCTAACCACTAAGCAGCTGCTACAGTTAATCATTCTGTACTTCATCGTCCATTCAGCAACACTCCCACCTCTATCAAAGTCAGTCCTTCCTGAAAACATGAAGCTCAGTTACCCAAAATTTGGTATGTGACAATCAAATCTTGTACTGCCCAAAAAAGCATCTCAATTAATTCAACCAGAATGTTTTTCTTGAGAATTTAGAATACAAAGATATTTTGTTTCATAAATTAGCACAAGAACTTCTGTTTATATTCTACCTAATGATGAATGAAGCCATCAAGTTGAATCCTAGATTTTTCCAAAGACCCACCAACTGCGCATAGATATTTTAATCTAAGGAAATGTTCTCTACACATGGAAAGCTATAATTTAATTTAATTTAAAAAGAATAATTAGAATAATGTTAACAATACCTGCTCGATGATGATGAAGAAACCCTACAAGGTGATATCAAAGATGCACCATCCTTAATTTCTTTGAGCACATGATCCTGAATTATAACATTCAAAAAGAAAAAGTTAATAGATATTATTTGGAGACATGTTTAGTGTGTACACGAGAATACCATTCGGTGTGCAGAATGTCTACCAATGGCAACCAAGAAAAAGTTGCACAATTACACAAAGAAATCACATACCGCATCATATATTGGTATTTGATTGCGCCAAAATTCTAAGGGAGGTACAAGCAATCTGCCTGCAACATAACCCAGGCAAAATGATTATAGTCTAGAGTAAATGACGTTTCAAATTACATAAAAAAGATTAACAATAGCATTGGGTGAGAGAGTTGGATAACAAGAGAGTGCATGAAAATAATATAAAGTGCATCTATTAGCTATAAGCCTAATAAGTAGTTTATGAACAGACAATAATGAAAAATTTACCAGATCTGGATGTTCTGAAACTCGATGACTCAGGAGAAGTAGTTGATTTTTTCTGTCCGCTTCCCTTGGTCAAGTGACTTGGATCTTTTAATCGCGAACTTTTCCCAGCAGAAGCAGATTTATTCCGTCCCTTAGGCCTGACGACTTTTTTCTTATGACAGCCTTCGGTCTTTGGTGACAATGTTCTAGAAATTATGGAGGCAGATTTTTGTACTATCTGTTCAGATGATGTGCGTAGTTGTCTCCATGGTTGTGACTGAATAGGTGTTTCCGGACTTTTTGGTCCCACTTCATCACAATTATCTAAGGCCGCCACTGAAATATGGTTCTTATTATTTGGATTCTTCGGAGGCAATCCAGAAGAAGACGGTTTCTTCCGCTGGTATACTTCAACATCATGCAACTTGGCACTTCGTCTTTCCCTACCTCTACTAGAAGTAACCTTAACACCAGCCACCTCCTTTGACACGTTGCATTCATTTTCAGGGAATGCCTTTTCCCGATCACCCTGCGCCTTTTCCGGTGATGCAGAAAAAGTAGGAATGCAATTTTCCACACCTGCGATAGCAACTAAAATATCTATATAGAAATTGGATAGAAAGGAGATGATAACCCCACCTATCCCCTTTGAAACTATGCAATCAGATCTAGGGAATAGCTTTTCGTGATCTCTCCCGGTGCCTCCTCTAGTGATACCAAAGAAGCTTTTGACTGAGTCAGAACTTTAGTTTAGGAAATCCATTTTTGAAGTTATATGTTTCTGGTTTATTTGTTTCAGTTATGGCGTTTCCCCACAACTAGGAATATATTGTTAGAAATGGGTTATAGGGCTATTTTCTAGGAATTCAGTTGTAGAACTAAGTCTATAAACTTGGCCTTTTTCATTTGTGAATAACATGGACTCAGTCGTGTTTCTATATACTTAAAACACTATGCAATTTCATCTAACGTAACAGAAGTACGAATGCAATCTTCCGCACCAGAACTGACAATTACAATATCTATTGAAACAACACAGAAAATGATAAAACTCCAAACAAGTACAAGAAATGACTAAAAATAAATGCAAATCAGTAACAAACATCATTCGAATATTTACCATCAGATAAAATTTCTGGACAGCTAGCCGGTACGTCATCAAGACAAGCACTACCCAAATCATTCCCCGTGGTTGATTCTTCTTTGGAGAAATCTAGAGCATGGCTTTCCCAGTCCGGAGGGAAGCCAAATAAAAATCGGTCCAAAACCTGGTAAAGAAGGAAAAACAAAAGAAAAGTCAGTCTGAGATATTACGCATCATAAAACAAGGGACAATTATCACCATAAACAACATTATTCAAACCGAAAACATTAATACTTACATGAAGACGATGCACATCATATAAAATACCAAAATTTCAAAACAAGGCTTATCAAATAGAAAGGGAAAAGGGAAAACAAAAAATAAAATTAATTGAACTTCAGGTATAAGCTAAAGTAACTTACAAACTTAATGTCCACAGAACCTATCTCTTTTAACTTTCATAAAACCTAAAATGCATAATTCGATTTTAGCCATAAGATAGGTTCAATTCATTTTATCTTCTTATTCTCCTATCCACAAGTATTTACAGAGAAGTTAATCCAACCACGAAATTCTAAAAACCTGAGGGTCGAAACCGTTTTCAACACTGCGCTGCTCGTTGATGAAACCACTCATTAAAAGGTATATCCCATCCGCAGTCTTGAGAGAAAACATGTCGTATCTTTTGATAACGGGAGCAGAAACAAACACGCGCATGGCCTCATCCCTGAATCAGAAAATCAAACAGTCACACTAATCACACAATTTCTCATCACCGTCACCATCATTATATCCAAAACGAACAGACACGAAGCAATTGAAATGCGACACGAACATTACTCGAGAGCACTCGCGAAAACCCTAACACGAAGAGAGAGAGGAATCTTAGACTTACTTTCTCGATGAGACGCCTGCAACAGCTAAACGCTTTCCTTGGAAGTCGTTTGTGGCTTTAATCAACCACCAATCATATAAAGTGACCTTCGGAAATGAAAAAAACAGCGTCAGAATTGAAAATTTGGGAAGGGGAAAATTGAAAGAAGAACTGAGAACGAAGGGAGCGTGAGTAACCGTTCGTTGGTAAACGCATGATTCGTTGTCGTTTGAAGGAGTTGCGGTCGGAGTGGAATCAGCCATTAGTGGATTGTTCTCTCTGTTTCAGTTATTCCGCTCCAAACCATGGATGTAGCTTCTAGAATGGTGCTTTCAAATTACCAAACTTCTTGCAAATGAGAGCGTAAGAAATCTTAGGGTTATGAGATGGCTGAAGATGCAGCTTGCAATGCGTTTTCTTGGACGAACAATCTTTCTCCTACACCACTCGTGTCACACCTCGATGTGGAGTTGTTCGCGCACTGAGCCCAGAAACCAGAGTTAAAGCGGGAACCTTGTCTTGGAGTTTAAAATTAATTAGAAAAGACAGATAAAATGCTATTTTATTTCAATATAATTTTATTAATTTTAATCTTTTTGTTTTAAACTAGTAGAAATATTTACATAAATTTAAAAAATAAAAAAATGAAACATATTGATAATTGGTAAAGAATCGTATATTATTAAAAGAACATTTACAGAATGATTATATTAGTGAGTTAATAAAATATTTGCAAAAACTTATAAGATAAAATAATAAAATGAAATATATTAATAAAGGATAAAATTGTGTAAACCAAAACAGCAGTTACATAAGTAAATTCCCTTTATGTATAGTTGTATAATTATAAATAATAATTCACATTTTATTTTAAGAATTATATTTTATTTTACTTTTTTTTATGAGGGATTAAATCATATCATCAAATTTTATCAATTAAAATATTATTTTATTTTATTAAACTTATAACATCACTTGCTGATTTAAAAAAAAAAATATTTGTTAACATTTTTTTCTTAATTTAAATAACCTTTCTGTTTTTTTTTTTCAAAAGTACTCTCTTAAAATTGTCTTCAAATTCAAACACAAATTAAGAAATAATTTGAGAAAAATAAATTAAGATAAATTTGAAGAAACAAAAAGAAGAAAGTGGAATTATTTGTATTTTAAGATATAGGAAGTGAAATAATTTAAAAAATAAATTTATAAATGATTTGATAAATGTAATATATATAAAAACTTATTTTAATAGATTAAAGATTTAATTAGTAATTTGATTTCTATATTTAGATATTTGATTTGGGTTTGTGTTTGATTTTTTTTATAAAAATTCCATTGATTTTTTTTTAAATAAAAACTTGATCGAATTTTTATTTTTTAAAATATGATTCATTCCATTAAATTAGTGGTAATATCATTTGAAAGTGTGAGTTTGTCAAATGTCAAAATTATATTTTAACACGTGATTATCGTCCAATTCATGTAATACTTTCATAAAGTATTAATGTCAATTTAATATAATTATGTTAATTCTTTTTTTTTTTAAATGAAAATTCAAGTGAAAAAAAATATAAAAATAAAATAAATCAAATATTTAAATACATAAACTAAATTATTAATTAAACCTATATTAAAATATAATATTATAATTTTATATTTAAAATTAAAATTAATATTAATATAAAATAAAATTTGATTGGATAAAATTAAAATAAAATAAAATTTGAATAACTAAATTTTTAAACATTTTGTAATTAGTGTATTAATACAATACTATTATTATTATTATTATTATTATTATTATTATTATTATTATTATTATTATTATTGTAGTATCATACCTAATGCAGGCTTAAATAATGTTTTTGCTCTTTCTTCCACAATTTTCACCGTTTCATGGACTATGCCTAAAAGACTAAATATAAAGATATCCAAAACTAGTCTTCTGGAGCATTTCATGCACGCTTTTCATTGTCGTGTTTGGATTGATTGTGTAAGAAATGTTACAAAGCTCCAAAATTTTTGTAATTTCATATTTGATAATTTGATAATTTAATGATTGTGTAAATATGCTTCTGTTTGATAATTTGAAATTCCATATTTCTCACATAAACATTATGAGTCGAAATATTTGCTCAAGTGAAAATGAAACAAGATCAAAATCTTCCTCTCATCCTGATTTTCTTAACTTTTAAGTAACTTTAATTTTCTTAACATGATAGAAAATTAAATTTATTAAAAAATTTACATTAATTAAAAACAAGATAAATTAGATTCTATTTTATAAGTTAAATTTATAAAATTTAAATTTAAATTCTATTAAAGAATTGCATTGAAGACGCTGGATCATTTAATGAATTAATAAAAAATTAATTAAAATCTCAAGACTGTGAAAAGGATTGAATTCACGTAAGGATAATGATATTTTAACAATATTTTAACACTGTCTAGGTGTTATTCTGTGATTGATCCAAAATTATTTTATAATCAATAATAATACTCATAAACACCAATATAAATTAATCACCGATAAGTAAATAATGTTAAAATATTATAAAAAAATGTTTGTAAAATATTATTATGTTTCACGTAAACATGTGATCAAGGAACCGATACAAAAGTACTGTCTTTTGATGGAATTGTTGGAACCTTTTGACTTTCTTTCTCAACCTTTGCAGAAGCAAGCTTCCATATTCACCCATCATTACCCTTTTCCATCACTGGAAAAAAAATTATTAAAGTTTTTCAAAAAGGCAAAAGGTAAAACTATCTCAAACAAATGCAATATTTCCATAAAGAATTTTCAAAGCTTTGGGCCAATTGCATCTTATGCATTGTTTTAGAAATTGTTACTTTCGACAATGCATTATAGTTATTCTCCATCCATCTCAGAAGACAACTACAACACATGGAAATTTCTGAGCTGTAAAGCCTTGAAATTAGGAAAGGGAATATGAATTTTCTTACCTGTTTGTAGCTAAGAGTCGAAGGGTAAAAGACAATCACATTGTTCTCGTTTTTTGGATAATGAAGCAACACTTTCTACAACCTAACGTTGTTTGTCTTCATGGTGGATTCCATTGTCTGTACTAAACTGTTTTGGCTGCACCAATACCCACTGAAAATAACTTCGTTTCTGTGTGGTCATTTTCTTCGGTAACAGCTATTCAATTTTAATTAAGACTAAACCTCAGAATAGTCAAAAAAGAAAAATGGTGTTGTTTTCTGTCTTTGAAGGGTATTTTTGTTAGAGATAGAGATAAAGAAATTTATAATATATAAAAGTGAAAATAATTTATTTTTACTAATAGATTTTATTAGATTGAATTAAATTTAAAATATATTTTTTTAAATGATTTTTAAGTAATTTAAAAGGTTTATTATTTCTTTATCATTTTTTTTGTTTATTGTTTTATTGTTATTATATTATTATCAAACCATTTATAGATATTTAAAATATATATGTTTTAAGGAGACATTTTAAAAATCTTACATTTATTAAAGATGAAGCAAAGTTTGAAAATATAAGTAAATGTTAATTTTAATTTATAAAACATTTATTAGAGATGAAACAGAGTTTGAAAATATAAATAAATTTTAATCTTAATTTATAAATAGATTTATGAGGGCAAATCCTATTTTATAAATCAGTTTTATAAAATTGAATTATGAATAAAGTTCATTTCGTAATAAATTGTATACGTTAACGAATGAATTTGAATTTGTTTATCACATTACGCCATTTCAATGTTTTGTCATGTATACTGTTTTTTGTGTTGTTTTATTAGGGTGTAATGTCTAATTTTGTCCTCTGAATTTATTTGAATTTTTAACGAGATCCTAGTTATTAGTTTTTACAAATTAGTGATTTAAAAGCACTAAATTTGTTTTTTTTTTCAAGTTTACTAATTTCATGTTTGACCATGCAGTGGTATGAGAAAAATAAATATAAGACTTTGAGAAATGGAAAAGAAAAATAACATATAACTTATAATTGGTTAAAAATTAAAAGACCCATAAACTATAAAAAGACTAAATTGGATGTTATTAAAAAACTAAAAGACTAAATTTAATATTTTTTAAAACTTGTAAGACTAAATTTAATGTTTATAGAAAAATTAAATGACTAAATTAAAAAAAAAACAATGAGTCATTTTCAAAATTCGAATAAAATTAAAGGAATAAATTAAGAATTAAGACTGTTAATTAATATAAGAAAAATGTTATCCTATTATAAGAGTGTGTATATTTAGTTGTTATGTGATGGGCATGATTTTAAAGAAATAATAGAAATTGATAGCAGTTATTTAAGTAATATATATGTATGGGTATGGAGTGAGTGTTAAGATTGATGAAGTGACAAATGCAATGATTAATATAAACCAACATTAGAAGAAGGTTTAGAAAAACAAAATGGAGGGTTTTGTGAAAGAGTTGGATGAATGATTGTTAATTTGAGAATCAAAGTTGGGCCATTCGTCATTCATCTTATCTTATGTCACCTACATTTTAAGAATGCCAAAAGCATAAAGGCGAAAACAATAATTTTATATAGGTTTAAATGCTTACTTCATCCATCCTCATGTTAAGAGGTGAATTTTTGTTTAATATCCGGTTTTGAAAATGAAGATACTGGGTCCTTATGTTAAGAAAAATGTATGAACAAGGTCCTGTCCGTTAAATTGACAATAACGACGTTAAGTTCATGCTGATGTGACCGTATTTGTTCTCTTCTCTTTTAACTTTTTTTCTCTCTTGTTCAACTTTTTCTTTAATGATTTGTTGAACTTGTTCTTTCTTTGTCGACTTTATTGATATATTTTTCATAACATAGACATCCAATGTCTTCATTATTAAAACTGAATACTAAACAAAAAAATTACCTCTTAATATTTGGACGAAATAAACATTTAAGTCTTTTATTTATAAGCTGATAAAATATAATATAAAATATATATATTATGAATGAAAATAGAATCACTTTATTTCATTTGATTTGATTGGTTTCCAACTACCGGGGTCTCACTACCCGACAAACATTGATAATTAAAATAAGAAAGTTGTTATTAAAATCATTTTCAACGAACATAAGTTTCAGAACAGAACCCTACACGTGGCATGAAATTGTATTAGAAGAAAGCAAGACTTTTTAATTATATGTTTTAAGTGAATAAGTTCACTAATATTAGTTCAGATAATTATCTGTAAGTAAATAAATGAACAGACCAAAATACACTGACAACATTTTTAATGCATGTTCCTAAGCTCTTAACTCGTACTTATGAACATTGTCGTGTCTAATAAATACATTTTAATCTTTTCACATGGTGTGGTGGTTTTTTACTTTCACAATATCAAGCATGCAAAAAATATTGTTTCACACAAAAAAAAAAAACATTTCACAGTCTTTGCTAGGAGTAAAATGATCTTAAAAAAAAGTGAATTTTGTATTTAAAAAGAAAATGAGAGAATAACGAGTAGTGAATAGTGATAATGTCAAATGTTATAA